TGCACCAACAATTCAACTTAGTAATTTTCACATGCTAAAGCTTTTATAAATCATGCAGCAACGAACCTCACTTGTAATTTAATTAAACACGCAACAAGCATCACCGAGACTCACCTTTGACTTAACGAATGATCGCGGTTTAGCCAAAGATTTCTACGGGCGTTTGCCTTAGACTTTTACGAATGATTTTGCCTTAGCCTTTGAACTGGAATCTGTTCCAAAGGTTCACGAATTAACTAAGGCAAGACTTAAAATTTTCTTAAGGGAAATTTGAGGGTAAAGCCCACAGATCTTACCTAACTTGGAGCTGAGCTTGTCGTGGACTATCTCTAGATCATCCGAAGTCTAGCCAGTTCTGATCTCGAAATATTTCTGAAATAGCTTGAAAACAGTTACGGTGGACACGAGATTGGATAGAGTAAGGCTCGGGAAATTTCTCCTTCCTTTGAAACCTAACGGAACTGAACCTGCGTTCATGATGGTTCCGATCATTTGATCAAGATACTTAGGTTAGAATCAAGATCAGTACGTGAAAACGTATTGGAAATGATNGGACTCNNACTTGGNAAANTTACCCNAAGTTTCCACGAAAAGGTCCTAGAGAATNGACTNATCGATTCGGAATGATCGTAACAAACTATCGCGGGCTAAATTAAAAGTTTGCGGCCAATTGATTCGTGGTGAAGGAACAGGCTATTTATAGGCGTGGGTAAGTAGGTGAAGCAGTTGGACACCCTACGGCTACCTGGCCAAGACCGTTCCACCGAGCCTTGCCCGTGTCGCGACACGCGTATGGGATTGTGTATCTGACCAGGCGTGTGTCCGATACACACCAGCGTGTGCTCGTCACGCTTAGGCACAACTCGGGCGCAAGCCTGCCCGTGGCCTACCCACGGCCGAAGCAGCTCTGTTGCCAAGCAGGCTAGTTGCCCAGCTTATTCATCAAGCTGCTTAACTATGTTTTTTTTTCTTTTCCAAACCATTGAACTGATCCGGCCATCGCAACGGGTCTTTTACGAGGCTCTGCTCAGGCTTA